ATTACCCACTACCTCGTCCATACTGGCTCCAGGAGACTTTTGGTGGTTGCGGGAGGGGACGGGGTGCACGGTCCTTGTGGCCGTGCTGGGCTCTCTCTCTCTCTCTCTCTCTCTCTCTCTCTCTCTCTATATATATATATATATATATATATATATATATATATATATATATATATATATATATATCCATATCCATATCCATATCCATATCCATATCCAGTGTAAACCCGAAGGAATAAGACCGGAGGCATGTGGATGGGAGCCACGTTCCATCAATGGAGCCGGCCCACACTCATTCACATGCAAACGCCAGCATGCTGTATTTATGGGATCTAGCGCACGCAAGACTGTGGCTGGACCGTAGTCCGCTCCGCACTGACTGCATGGAACCGCTCTTCGAGCTTAGCGCGGCCACAAGGACCATGCACCTCGTCCCCTTCATCAACGACCAAATGTCTCCTAGAGCCAGTATGAACGAAGTAGTGAGTAATAGACAGGTAGGCACCTTGTCAGCTTGCACATGAAGCGCAGTCACACAGGGGATAGCAACAGCCAATCACATGAAACGACAAGATTAAATAAAACAAATCACATAATGCATTGAGATACTGTGGCATAACTCCTCGCTAAATTAACATATGAACTAAGTTGGTTAGCAACGAATCCGCGATAAGTAAAAATGTCCACAAGTTACTGTAAAATGCTACAAACGCAACAAAGTTACCGAAGGTAAGCGCAGTTAGTGTTAGCAGCGTAGCTAGTTTATAGAAGATTATTCGGGTAGGCAGAACAAACCAAATAACGCGGAATGCAATTTATCCTTGCTTAAATGGACCTAGTTTAAGTGTAAGTTTGTTTGGATGCGACAGAAATCAACGTGATTCCGCAGTGGTTACGGTTATCCTCGCTGGAGCTTTTCTTGTGAATCGGAACAAAGACCAGTTCTCTCCATGAGTTCGGAACCTTTTCCTCAGTCAAAACTTTTGTGAACAGCGATATGATTTCGCTAAGCAGTACACTCCTGCGGTCTTTGAATAGAGCCGGTGGTACGCGCCACTGATGCCGACTCCGAGCCATGTCCTGTAACATCTCGAGCTATGCACTAGGCGGGTCACGCGATTCCAACCTGGAAGGCCAAACAGACCAACGGTACACAGTTTTGTAGTCATTGACTACATTTCCACTATCAACTTAACTTTTGTCCACCTTGGACATTGCGCCACTCCATAGCTGGCTGAAAAGCTAGGCCCTCCTCGGTAAGCGGTGACCAGGCATACGTAGTACGTGCTCAAGCCAACTCAACTTATTCAGTGCTATCTGTGTTAGGGACCAGCCTGATTACCAATGCCTAGCAATCGCTTACACATATCATACTTGCGGACACGCTGGTGCCATCCGACACCAGGAGTGCTTCACCTGCAACGATGTTAAAAGACTTTAATTTGCTTCAGATCGAAGGAGCCAAGTCACTGCGATAGAGTTGGACAACCCTCACTCTGGCCTTGTGAACACGGCCTTTCAGATCGGGGCAAACCACTTTCTGACGTCACAGATTCAGGAAGACCGTCTTAGCTTTGGTGATGCATGAGCTGACTTCAGTGGTTATGGGTCCATCGTTTCTGATGCAGCTGCCATGGAATTTGAATTGATCAACAACCTCGAGTTCTTCGTTATCAAGTGGTTAGTGATCCTGCAACAACGCTCCACTTTGAACGTGCGAAGCGTGCTGCTCTATTTTGACTAGTCCACCTTAACATGATTGAACAACGAAAGAATATCATCCGCAAGATTTTCTACGGGCAGCACCTCGACGTCTGTATTGTGAGATTCCGCAAGGGAACACTATGATGGAGTCCACGACGAAGTTGAAAAATAGGAAATTGCGTAACCCTGACGCACGCCACTTGTCTGGAAGATATTTGTTAAGTCACCGTAAACCATGGTGTGGCTGTCGCTTAGCCTGCATCACCTCAGTAGGAAAGGGTCCGGGAGCAAGAAGCCAGCCAAGCTTCTCTCCAAGATGCTCCGCCTGAAGTGTCGTATGGCGCTGCTTCTTGTGAATCAGGGCACACACACAGTCTCCGAGTGTCTTGCTGATAGCTAGTTTCCTGAGACTAGTAGTGTGGTTCACTTGGAAGAGTTTGCGATATTAACTTCCTGGTCCACCGGGCTTCCTTTTTAGCACACGGGCTGCTTCTCAGTCCGCTTTTACTAGTACGTCTGGTTACATTGCGCTCAGATCCATCTTGAAGTGTTCTTTTGGATTCCAACATTTTCACCGTCCTCTCGGATATTTGTGACTGGTGCGGTGACGATTGATAGTACCGCTAGCATTGACTTCCGCGTCGTGCATGGGTGCCGAGATCTTATTCCGTGGAAGCTGATTGTATTTAGGACTAGGAAGCGAAAGTTCGGTATGCAGAGCATACTGGTATGCTTGCCTTACCGAGAACTGTGATAATTTCTCATTTGCCCATCGAAGAAGGCGCTTGGTATGCCCCTGAGTAAAGTTGATGCAAAAACGACAGCATATCACGACATGATCAAAGTCGCTACAGGTATTTTCTAACCTCTGTATTTGCAAGATATTACCACGCCACCTGGAACTTATGACAATATGATCTATTTAAGTCCATCACTGGCCAGCTTTAGGTGGGCACCAAGTGACACTGTGTCTGAAGGCAGTACTACTTAGACAATTGGTGCTCTGCACACAGTTGAAGCAGATGTTCGCCGTTGTCCGTCCAATCGTAGCTAAGTCTGTGCTTACTACCCAGTTGAGGTGAAGATTCTAGATGACCTACTTGCGCACTCATATTCCCCGCAGCAACAACCATTTCTGAACTAGTTACACTGCTAAGCAGCGTGTTCAGTTTGTGGTAGAAAGTGTCTTTTGTAGCATCAGAACTGTAGTCTGTGAGGGCACAAGCGGGAACCACAATCAAACGGTTTCCATTACTACTTCGTGACTCAATCTTAGTCGATCTCTTCAAACGTGCCGCGCAACCAACGATGACTCGGCCTTGGAGCTGAGAACGATGCGCACCCCAACTTGACCAATGGTTGCCGCATCAACATCTCGCGATGCGTCTACTCTGTAGTGAGGGAACAGGCAGGGTGTTGTTAGTTCAATAATCTCCTGTGGGTCATTTAGATTCAGACAAGCAACAGACCTCGATACGTGCGTGCGAATGCAGCCTGTTTACGTATTGGTCTTATAGTGAGAATGTTGAACGCCGTCAACAAAACGTGACAGCGTGGCCTTATAATGGGTGCGGAAAAATAGTTGCAGTTAGTCGCTGTCAGTTTAGCTAGGATTTATGGAAGGAAGATCAGTAATGGGGGTTGGAAGGGGAGTAAGAGAAACGGGCAGAAAAGAAAAAAGGAGACGCCAGTAGTAGCATCTTTTCACTTATGCACCCTTCTGTATGTAGCAGATAAGGCGGCTTTTTGAAGCTCCGCAGCGGTCGATTTGGGATGGTGTCTACTAAAGTGAATGATGCTATTATGCAACCATTCTAGAAGGGTGATGGAGAGCAGTGGATCAACATTTTATTTGTCTCAACTGGTTTAGGTGAATCGGGTACTTGATCGCCTGGATTCTATACAACTGTCAATTACGTCCTTGGACCATACATACAAAAAGCTAACAGAATTTTGGCATAGAAATGGAAAGGAAAGGCACTGCAATAAGATTTAAAAATTAGTCTAAGGAGTAGATTAATGTGGGAGGAAGGTATAACTGAAATAACCAGGAACAAGAGTCACAACAGATTCAAGGCTAAGAGGGTAGTACATTAAGATAGGTCAATCTAAGTAATTTGGTCATCCGTGGAATTATCTCCTTGGGACTTGCTTCCATGCAGTGTACTTCCTCGAGAGACTTCACCCGCACCTCCTCACTGCATTCGGTCGTGTGTCTGCGCGACTTACAAGCAGGCTAGCTACAACCGATTTTAGTTATAGTTTGGACTTCTTTTTTCCTAAACGAATCGCTCAAGCCAGTCCGCCTGTTAGTCATGTATTGTTTTTGTGTGTGCGCATGGTGAACGCATTCACCAGAATTGGCGGCATATGCCACTAAGTGTGAATCCAATAGTTCAGAGTGTACTGCTCTTAAGTTCAGCACACGTTTTTTATTCACCATGGTGTCTCTGGCTATCTGCCTTGTGTGGGTAACCATTCTGCTTGAGTTTCATTTCATCACCTCAAGAGATCAGCCCAGTCGTGAGCAACAAAAAAATAAGCAGAAGAAACTAATGGAAAATGATAAAATAGAAGGATAGCAATAGCAATGAAATGATTAAACAAATAGCCTGTCTTGCGACAGTGCATGACACAATCATATTGGTTGGTGTGATAAATATTTACAAAAATTAGGGAAAACCGGTTTCAATTATTTATAGGTTAGCTCCACCTTCCAAAACGTACTTGAAGATGCGCATTGTCAGGTTGAAATAGCCGGGCAGAGTAGTGAAAGCATACGGTATGCTTTCTTCGCCTGCAAGTGGGGCTTCAAGATTGTTCGATGAGTTTTTCTTTGAATCTTACAAGTCGGAATTTGTGTTTCATTTCCTCGCTTCATCCTATCCTTTCAAACCCGACGCATTAAAAACGCGCCATTTCTGTTGCTTGTTTAGATTCCTGACATTTGGACTTTTCCCCTGTAGTAAGGATATTTAGCATTTAGTGTATTTTGTCTTTCCATCCACTCTCCAAGATATCATTATTTGCTTTCTGTTGTCATCCAATATTTCATCTGCTGGTCGCGTTTGTAGCCTTAAGGAGCGTTACTGCATTCTCGAAATGCGCAATGTCAAATTGTTTGAATTCATTACTTTTTATTAGTGGTCTGTGGTCAAACTGTGTTCTTTACAACCAGTTTTCATTGTGCTTTATTGTACTTTCCGCATACTCTGATTGTACTCGTCAATCTTCGCACTTAAGCGTTCCCGTTATCTCATGACTAGTCTACTCGTTCCATTGGTTTTCCAAATAAGCACGTTTCAACTGGCCACATGGAGGAGAATCTGGTGGACCTGGACCTTTCGAACCCAAATGAAAGTCTTTCTTCTACTCCGCATCCATTGGTTGGTAAGCTCAAATTTACGGACATTATTACTCCTATGTATGTATAACACTATCTCCATTTTTCTGAGCTTGAAGTCTTGGAGCCTAAATTGGGGTATTTTTTCATCATCAACATGCCTAGACTGCTCTCCATCACTGCGCTGAACATTTTCTTCAATTTGCCTCTTGCAGTTCCCTTGTTCCAGTCCGTGCTCTTTGCTCATGCACTACTCATATTGTGTGAGTAGCCAAGCACATTCTGTCACTATCCCCTACTCACCGGCCCAGCCCTCCGAGTAGACAGTACTGGCGCTCCTGAAAGGGGCTCCTTTACTTTGTCTATCTCCAGAAGGAATTTATAGTCTTTATAAAAGTTAAACATTAATAGCAAGTATTCAGCGCATCTGCCTTATCCTCCTTTGAAGGCAATCCAAATCCTGTTTCGACCTATCTTGCTTTGCATCTTTATGTCGTACTGGGACGCGATTAGAGATAGGATATGATCCTTACGAGCAGTCCTTTTATACAGCTGGGAAAGTTTGTTTATTTTGCATTTGGTTATTTGGACACTGATAGCTTTCTATTGGGAAACGAGTTGGCAGGCTACCTTGTTTCCAGTGACGGAAAACAGATCGAAGTCCATGTTCATTATCCTAGATAGTCTGAATGACCAAACAGTTAATTGGTCCCAAAGCGATCAGGGGATTGTGTTTGGTCTTCGTGTAATCTAAGCGAAACGTTAAGTAAATGTACAAATGTCAGGGTGTCGACTCGATTGACAATCGTGTCTCGTTTCGCCAGTATTCAAGCTCCAACTATATGGTCATTTACTTAGCTATTTTATTTAGTAGCCTGATTACGAACTGCGAAAACAGGCTTATTCGCTAACCCGCTTCTGATGTCTATCCTAGGTATATTTTGTCAACTACCTATTCTTTTGCATTCAGAACAGTGTTCACTCCTCCTCAATTCAGATTCAATCTTTTCGTAACGTTTGAGTCATTGGCAGTGGTCGTGAGACTAGCGGTACCGTTCGAGTTACACGGCCTCTTCTGTTTGACCTTATTATCGTGAATATTCTGACGGGGAAACTGATGGTTAAGCGTCGTACACCAAAATGCTCCGGTTCTGACTGCGTGATTGACACTAGTCTTCTCTTTGGATGCAATTATTTACTCAATCGTTTAGGGTGGGGGGAATTATGAACCTTTTTTCTACTCATAGTAAATCCAGCGTACTACTGAAGAATTATCCGCAAATTTTATTACGCATACTGAGTGCTGCATTGTGGAAGTGAGTAGAAATTTGAATATGTTCAACTGTCGTAATAAATTCAAACTGCTAAAACTATCTGCCATCCGTGTTAGTCTAATTTTTCTGAAAGCTCTTATGTATAATTTAAGTGTCTGACTTACAGATTCACTGAGTTCACATGTAATATGTCATTACTAGTGTGCAATCGTTCTCTGAATCAAATGGTTGTGAAATATAAATACAACAACCTTTTGAACTACCCAACGACTTGTTCTGGCACTCTGTTCCAAACATTTACAACTTTCCGTTCGAAGCACAGGAGGTCCGGTTCTCGTTTTATGTTCGACACCACAAGCCCATACTTGATGTCTGCGTGTGTTGCATGACGTTCGTAAGTGAAGCAACGGCCTAAACACGAGGAACTCACCGAGGTGTAATTTACGGTAAGTCATTATGAGGTTCACCCGCAACCGACGATCAGACAAGGCGTAGAGTCCTAGTTTCTCTCTCCGGTCTTCGTACGGTAATCCTCTTAAACTTGGAATGAGCCTGGTAGCTATGTGTTAGACCTGTCGATCTGTGCCTGGCCTAGGGTTATTGGCTAGTAGGCAGGTGAACTGTAATCCAGTATTGGTCCTATGTGGAAGAGAAGAAGAGAGTGGCGACCACTTTAGATCAAATACAGAAGCTGCGTTCGATCGGCCAAAGCATGCGCAGTCCGTTACGATATAATCTGTTCATGTTGTCAACGGAATTCAAATCGTTATGCTGGAGTACACCTAGGTCCTTCACGGAAAGTTTGGCATGTACCGATTGGCCGTCAATGAAGTAAGGACGGCTGTCACCACTCTTCACCAGACTCATGAATACCGACTTGGATGGTTTGATCAGAAGATGGACTTCCGCAGACAACATAGAGAGGTAGTTGAGGTCTTGCTGAAATAGGCCGCAGTCGTCTCGGGTGCTAATTACTCTTCAAATCTTCACGTCGTCCCCAGACAGGGCACACGATGACCGAAGAAGCTGAGCTCGATCGTTGTTTTGGATTAGGAACAGATTGGTCTCCAGCACAGTGCTTTGGGGCACGCCACTTGTAGAGGGATTCCAGTCAGTTAGATGGCCGTCGACCTGTATCCACCACTTTCGTCCAATGAGTGTCTTTGATCCAGTGGCTCAGTGATCCACCGACACCGCACGCTGAGCTTGTGGAGGAATACCTCATGATTTCCCTTTTGGAACGGTTTACTTTGATCGATGTAGATTACGTCGACAGACTTCTCCTGGTTCACTGCCAGTAATAATTCATGCCTCATCACCATAAGGTTGGTAATGCATGAGTAGCGTAGCACAAAACCGTGTTGTGCGGGCGTCAGTAGACTTTTTGTTTGGAGTGGTTGTAGTAGACCCTACTTCGCGAGCTTCTCGGCAAGCTTGGTCGAAATTGGTGTCAAACAAATCGGCCTGTAGTTGTCCACCTTGCTGGGGTCACTGCCTTTCGGAATCGGTTTTACCATGTAGCGTTCCCAGTCGCTCGGCAATGAATCTTCGGACAGTGACCTGTTGAAAAAGAGTCACAGCAGGTGATATGATGATCGCTAGTGACTTGATAATCGTTGGTGGAGTCTGTCAGGGCCATCTGGTTTAGTGTCGTCAAGTTTGCCGAGTAGTTGATGCACCTCTTTAACACTTCAAACAGGCTGTGTATTTCGGTAAATATTGTGCACCTCGAACTTAGTCCATACACTAAGTCTTTTGCAAACACGAAAGCGAATTGCGCCGCCAGTCTGGACACACACTTAGTGCTTTTAATTAGGGACCGTCCGTCCGAACCCTCTGGCAATAGCAGATCACTTGCTATCTTGAGGCGCCGCTTCACGTACGCCAAGATTCCTTTCGCGGCGTTGTTTGCGGCGGTTGCGAGCTGTTCTTCGAAATGCTAGCGCTTACTCTTTTTTCACTGCAACTATTTCACTGTCTCTTATCCTTATTACCATTGGAATCGCCGAAGCTTAGGAATTTGTTCCACAACTTGCACCGCAGCTGAGCCATTTTATCATACTCCTTGTCAAACCATTCGGCCGGGCTGGGCCAACTTTCCGATAATTCAGTGGTACAAACTGAGAACACGGTAATGTCATCCCTCTCTAATAACAGTCCAACGGTCTTCCACAAATGCAGCTTGCAGGAAAGGCCAATCTACTTTGCTCGCGACTGGAGTTAGTTTTCCAGTAGTTGTAAGCTGGCCTCAACAGACAGGGATACGGTCAAGATATATGTATACTAGCTTTGAACATTGAGTGGTTACTTGCTTGGGATATGGAAGCAAATGTTGGTATCTCAGGTTGTTCATTTGGTGGTCTCAGTGTTCGCCGAGCTCGGCAGGTTGACTGCAAACGTTTCGTCACCACTCGAGGTAACATCATCAGTGCGCGTGTACTTAGCAGAGTGGCACGTACGAAGTCTGTAGGTCTATAGGACCTGAACATCATACACATGTTGTTCACACCTTGTTAACATCAAGCCTAGGCACGACGGAGTCGATCGTGGCGTTATTCGAGTCGGCTGGCATATCTGTTGCGCTGCTCCACTTTCAACAACACCATGCAACATTATGACTTCTCCTGCAAATACTCTTTTGATGCTCTGGCCGCCGCTGAGGATAATAAACGGCACCCTATTCGCATTATCGAGCATGGTGGATCGGGATTTAAGTGCTACTGCTCAAGCCTTCCTGTCTCTTCCCTTTCGCGCTTTCTCATTCTTATTGTCCCGTTCCAACTTCTCTTTTATCCCCTCTGTTTTCAATCCCCTGATTTTTGGCTCTCCCCCATGTTTGTTCAGTAATCGTTTATCCTATAATTTCGACTTACATACACTTGCAAGGCTTCTCTCCGGTCCTGTCGACAAGTTCATGTCCAGCCAAGCGGACGACGTCAATTCGTCTGTTTCTATTTGGAGCCCTCAGTCTTCCCTATGACTGGCATGCCTCTATGTGCGTACTTTGACGCTTATTGGCCAACAGGCAGCACTTGCCCGAACACTGGATACCCTTTCAAACGATATTTACTGCTTGTCCTAATCGCGCCTACAAAGTTCGGGTTCCGTGATTACCGTCTGATTCCCCACGTACTTTTGTCCTGAGATGAAGCAGCTTCAATTGCCGGTCAAGCCGGTGTGGGCATTGTTCTTAGTCTTGAGGCTTAATCCCCCTTGACCGATTGGATTCCAATGAACAGCGGTCAGATTGGCTAGCTTGTTCAAAGCATCGAAGTTGCGACAGGATGAACGGTGCATGTTTGTCATTGTTGTCTGTACGCCTCCAACTTGTAACGCTGACCCGGTGAAAGACGACTTCTAGAACCAATTAAACGCTTTTCGTTACAGAAAAAACACGGATACTGTGGTACTTGCTGGTGATTTGAACGACCAACACGGAAAACTCTCCACTGATGAGCTTCACCTAGGCGGTCTATATATTGTAGGCTCCCGTAATGATAACGGTGAGTGGTTACTTCATTTGTGTGATGCCCGCTTATTTCTTGCGAGCACCAACTTCCGACACAGCATCCGCCAAAGGGTGACATCGGGCCCACCACCTTCGGACCAGCCTTGGACGCAAATCGATCACATTGCGATCAGTTACCACTGGAGAGGATGCATTCAAAACTGTCGCTCGATTTGAAGCACGAGTGTGGGCCCTAACCACGCACTTGTTTGCACCGACCTCTGTGTGCGTTTCGCAACGGTGCTGTGGACGCATGAATATTTGC